ACGTTTGAACTTCACCTCGCCCAGAGCCTTCGTTTGCACATCCGCAACCATCCACTCCGTAGGGCAGTATTCCAACTGCACCTCACCGCTATTCACCCTCTCACGCACTATGTGGTGCTGCACGTCGATGTGTTTCGACCGAGCAGACGTAATCGGGTTGTTTCCCAAGCTAAGCGCCCCCTGGGAGTCTATCTGGATTTTCACCGCGCTCTCAGGCAAGCCCAAATCGTCCATCAGCTTGCGAAGCCACAAAGCTTCACGAACAGCTGCCGCTGTAGCTTGATACTCGGCTTCCACCGACGAAGCCGCCACAGTACGTTGAAGCTGGCTGCTCCAGCTAATCGCAGCCCCATTAAGAGTGAAAACGTAGCCAGAAGTAGAACGCCGCGTAACTGGGTCTCCTGCCCAGTCCGAATCACTGTACCCGGACATAGCAACGTCGCCAACACCCCCAAAACGCAATCCTAGTTCGCAAGTCCCCGCCAGGTAACGCAGAACGCCGATTGCTAAGTTCATGGCAGTCTTCGTAGGTGCGGCCATATGCCGGGACAAAACGCTCAATGCATATGAAATGTCAGGCCGCGTGTTCGTCGCCAGATAGTTCAATTCTCCCACCAAAGCCCTATACTCGGTGGGATTGCCCAGCAGCTCCTCTCCGTCCCCCTTAGGAGTGTACCTAAAGCCCGGAGGCAAAGGGGTAGACCTCGGCTTGGCGTCAATCATCCTATGACATTCCAACAGCTGCGCAATATACCTATGCTGCGACAACACTATCTCACCCGACTTCTCCCTCCTAATTTCCATGCCCCAAAACACCTTCGCTTCTCCAAGGTCGCGCACCTTGAAGACCTTCGCAATTGCAGCTTTAATTGCCCGGACCATTTCCGGGTCTTCCGACGCAACAATGGTATCATCTACGTGCACCAAAGCAATAACAACCCCACGCTCGTCAGTCTTAACGAACATCGCCGGATCAGACTTCGAAGGATAAAGACCCAACTTGGCGAACTCTGCTGATAGTTTTTCATACCAGCAACGGGGTGCCTGCTTTAAACCGTAAATAGACTTCTGCAGCTTGCACGCAAGCGACCGGTCACTGGATGCATACCCAGGCGGTTGCTCCATCCACAACTCCTCCTTCAGCTCACCATTCAGGAACGCAGTAGACACATCTAGCTGATGCACCGTCATGTTCTGCGCTGCGGCAACTGCTAATAAAGCACGTAATGACGAACCACGAGAGGTGGGGGCAAACAACTCCCCATAATCAATCCCCTCGTGTTGCTCGAAACCCTTGGCAACTAAACGCGCCTTAAAACGCTCCACGCTGCCGTCATCGCTGTACTTAACCTTATATACCCAACGACACGGCAACAAACGAGTACCAGGAGGTGGCTTCGTCAGCTCCCAAGTACTATTAGCCATCTGGGCGGCGATCTCCTCGTCCATCGCACGCCGCCAGTCGTCTGCATGTGGACTCGCAATGGCTTCCGCAAAAGAATTCGGTTCGGGAATACCAGCAGAGAAAGCAGCATTAACGCGACCAGTGACAGTGCGACCAGGTTCGTTTCGCCACCATTCGCCAGGGCGTTTACGCTCTCTAACTGGATACCTAGTTCCCGCCATTTCCACATCAGGCTGATTGATTCCTTGCCCATTCGCACTGCTGGAAGGTCCAGCCCCAGCCGGCGCCCCCTCGCCACCCAAATGCGGCGATCCCTCGCCGACGGTGCTACCTGGTGTCCCTTCGCCAGCCCTAGGCAGCGATCCCTCACCAGATAAACTAGTGCGAAACTCCTCCTCCTTGTCGGCATCGGACTCATAATCGGAGTCCCCGGCATTACGCCGCCGGCCGACGTTAGATTCATCAAAACAAACGTTGGAAACTACGGCAATAATGCCGTCCTCGTATAATACACGATACTGTCCACCGTTCCCGTATCCGACAAGTATTCCACGCCTGCTCACCGGGTCGAACTTGTCGCGCTTGACGTCGGGTACGTGGACGTAGGCAACGCATCCAAAGACTCGCAAGTGACTGACATTCGGACGAACGTTAAAGAAAGCTTCCTACGGAGTGACGGTTGACCCAGCAGTTGGCGACACATTCCTAAGATAGTTGGCTGTCGCTAACGCCTCTGCCCATAATGATTTAGGCAGTCCAGACTCAACGAGCATAGCCCTAGTCTTGTCCAAAAGAGTGCGATTTAAACGTTCCGCAGCTCCGTTCTGCTCAGGGGTGTAGCCTACCGTAGTTCCGTGTACAATACCCCTGGAAGCAAAATAGGCCTTCGTGCGAGTATTAACGAACTCCCCGCCACGATCCGTACGCACCTCCTTAACCTGCCTGCCAGAAGCGTGCTCCAGTTCCGCTATCATAACCACCATCTTCTGGTAGACCTCCTCCTTGGTCGCTGTAAACACAGCAGCTGAAAGACCAGTATGGTCGTCAAGCAGAGTTGTCACATAACGCGAACCACTAGGTGAAGGTTCAGGCATAGGTCCACACACATCCATGTGAATGAGTGCGAGAGGCTGCGCTGCCTTATGCCCAGATAACGGAAAAGGACCACGTGTATGCTTTGCAAAGACGCAAGTCTCACACACACACACGCTGGCTGATTGTATGCTGTGTCGGTCAACATCAAAACCAGCTACCATATCATGACGCAGCAGCGCCTCAAGGTTGCTGTATCCTAAGTGGCCATACCTTCGGTGCCAAAGTGCTGCACGTTCAGCTCCGATACCCACGGCAGCACACACTGCATCACCACCAGAAGGTATCCTGTTGTCTTCACGCTGCGTCCTCTTCAGAGCTCCCGTACCTCCACTGCTGTAGCAGACGGGATACAAGTCCCCATCCTGCTTTCCAGTCAGCACCAAGTGGTTCTGTACGTATACTTTCGCCTGTCCGCCGCCGAAGACCACACTGCCTCCACGATCATCAATGATGCGGACCGATATGATTTTGGCGGTGGCCTCCTCGTCAACGTAGACCTTCTTGAAAGTGATGGCCTGTTTATCGTTGACGTTAGACCGAATCGTAAGCGTGCCAACTTCAGTCGGTCGAAGAGACTGTCCCTTGATGCCCATGATGTTGAAGCACTCCCACGGCTCCAACAACCGCACGTTGAAAAGTTCTGAGCGGTCATACGTTATGTGGTGAGTGGCGGCTGAGTCCAGAAACCATTCCGTCGGACGCTCGCTGTTGTATGCTACGAACGCTACCTGCCGCGGAACTCCTGGCCCCCTAGCTGATCCACCGGATCCTGGCTTGCTGCCGCTAGCTCCGCTGCCACTACCTCTGTTACCACTGTTGTTGTACCCACCCTTATAGCCAGAATTTGACGACTGCTTCAGCACTTTAAGCTGCCTGCAGTCCTTTTGTAGCAGGCTACATTTCCCTTAGAATATTTTAACGATTACTTTTAACAATAACTGTTAATTTGTTAAACGATCTGACTCAAGTTTCGTACATGTTCCGAGTTTCGTCACATGTCGCGAACTGGGCAGTTGTTCGTAAGCGAATCTAACGGGCTGGGGCCCCGGGCCCCACCAACATTATCCTAGTACGGCAAGGTCCGTAGTAGAGATTATCCGGCAGGTAGGCCGAGATATAAGCTACCCGGGCGGGGTGTTCTGGCCAGACACTGACGTATCACATTACTAGGTGTTCGGAGTTCAAGACTCCGCTGCCGCCGTCTCTAACCGTTACGTACACATCTTATGTACGCTAGTGCTTGCCGCTTGGTTGGACTTCTTCCTACATCGACGAGGACTAATAACTCCACGCTTCCGCTCTGTCAGTCCTCCCGTCAGGTGAGCGACTGCTACACCTTTACCACGTGCCCAGGTTTATTACAGTAGTAGCAGATGACTTGCTTCCGACTGTGTCCCGAGCTGTTGTTAGCCGGCCCCCGGCTACCATAACCAGAAGTAGAAGCGCCGAACGTCGAACCGCCGACAGACGCGAAGGCTGCCGACTCGGTAGGCTTGCCCGACCTACCGTTAGCCGTCTCGATAGAGAGAAGCTTTGCTGTGACGCTCGCCATGTCCAAATCGCCGTCGCGCATTAGTAATGTAGTCGTCACCACGCTGTACCGACTGGGTAGACCAACTAGGACGGTGTACGCCAGCTCGGAGTCGTTGATTACGTGGCCGACTCCCAATAAATCCGTTTGCAGCTGTCTTGCACGCGCAAAGTACATCGGGAGAGGTTCACCGTCGACCATCTTAAAACGGCTGAATTCTTGACGTAGAGACACCTTGCGGGCGTTGTTGTTGGCAGCAAACATAGATCCCAAGGCGTCCCAGGCCTTCTTCGCGTTGGCAGCACTGGTAACCATCGGCAAATGATGATCCTTGACGTTCTTGATGAGCAGATTGATGACCTTCCGTGATTGTCGAATCTGCTCCTCGTTGCACGGCTCGGCGAGCAGGGATTGCTCAAGCCCAAGCTCCATGCACATCGCGCTAAACCTGATTTGCCAGGTGGAGTAGTTGTGGAGGTCCAGCGGCTCATCAAGCTTATCCTTGACCATTGTCGATAAGGGATAGAAATAACAATCGGACGATAGCTGTCGGCGCTACTCGGGGCTCATAACCTATTGAAGAATTGGCGACGGTGACGGCTAACGCAGATTGTTATCTCGGAAGAATTGCCGGCGGCGTGTTAAGACCAGCAAAGCGCCGGACCCCCATTGGGTCCTATTACTGTGGCTACCATTCACTGGTATATGAGTGTCGGTCATTTCCAACACGGCGAAGATATTTAGCACGATAAAATGTTACAAGTTATGTAAAGAGTATTATTAGCGTTCGGCAGGACTTGAGGAGATTCCTTTGAGGAATACCGATCGTAGTGAGATAAACAAATAAGCGCAGTCACCGCCCTAAATACCGGCGCTAGCGGAAAACTCGTACATTCCGCGATCTAACTGCACGTACATTCCGCGATCTCACTGCGCCGTCCTGACGGTGCCCTAATGTCTATCACTTAGCTACCGGTTATACATCGGTAGCCCCATAACGTTCTGGGGTAAGTCTTCCCCATTAGTCAGGCGCAGACCCGGGGTCAAATCCCCTGGTCGACAACCACACGAGTTGGGAGAGGACCGTTTCCTCAACACCACCACCATCACAGGTCGAACCTGCTGCCCCAGGAGGGGGAGGAGGGCGGCCTGGCGTGTCCGGCAGTCGTACGGCACCGCTGCTGTTGCCGTCGCTGGAGAAGTCGCCAAGTCGCCGAAAAGGCTCACAGCTGGCGGCGACGGCACGTCCTCACTGTACGGCAGCGCCCGTGTAGCCACGGCGGCGGCGCCTTCCGCCGCTGATCGCGCTACTTGGGCGCCACAGGGTGGTGGCGGCTGCCGTCTGAATGGCTGCGTGATGGAAAGGATGGTATCATAGCGGGATGCCGTGATGTCCGGGAAGCCGAGCCAGAGAGGGTGTCTCCTGGGCTTCGACTCCGCCTCCGCCAGGATCTGGGCACGGAGGCTGCAGCGGCAGCGGAGGCGCGAGGCGGCGGAGATGATGAAGCTCGGAGAAGGGCATTACCCTTGGCGGTGGCGACGGAGGCGGCGGAGATGATGAAGACGACGGAGGCAGTGTGTTGGAAATGACCGACACTCATATACCAGTGAAATGTAGCACAGTAATAGGACCCAACGGGGATCCGGCGCTTTGCTGGTCTTAACACAGTGGTGCCGAAGAGGAAGTGGAGCCGAGTGCTGAAGCTCCCGCCGGCGGTGGGGTCGCCGCCGCCGCCACTGCCTCAGCCGCCGCCACACCACCCGCCAATGCATTCCGCAGCGGCAACCAGTCGGGCAGGTCGTTGGGCGGCACTGGCAAAGGTAACAAGTTCCGGGAGAAGTACGGCACCATGGCGGCAGCCACGGGGCTTCGTACGGCACCTGGTCGCAGCGGCCGCCCCGCGCAGACGGCACCAGCGACCCATAGGGCGCAGATGCGCGCGGCGGCAGTGTTGGCGGCAGCGGCGGCGGTAACTCCGGCGCTCGCGTGTTGTCAACCGTCATCGCGGGAAGCGCAGGCCACATCAGCGGCAACGGTGTTGCGTCGCCGTACGTCCCACGTGGATCAATCTCAGCCCGGTTGGCGTCACCCAAGCGGCCCAGAGGGGATTTCGGTAGTTACGGCAGCGGCAGCGGCGGCGGCGGTGGCGGCGGTGGCGGCTTGGCCAGCGGCGGCAGCTTCAGTGAGGGGGCTTTCGCCAGCGGCATGATCGTCCTTGGCGGTAATGGCGACTCGGCGGAGAGGTCCAAGCTGCCACCAGTGTCGGAAATCCCTATGCCGTACTTTATGATATGCCGTTGAGCTCCGATCGGATATGAAAGGGCTGCGGGGCTAAGCAAGCCATATGGCTTCTACCGCCGCCGCCTATGGGCCAAGGACGCCATATATATGGGCCAAGGACCGGCAGCGGAGCAGCGGCAGCCGACGCCGCCGTCACTGTCACCGTCGCCGTCGCCGCCGCCGCCGCCACGCTCTGCTTCTCCGTTCCGCGGGTCGCTGTCACGCGACGACTCCATGTCGCCTTGCAGCCAAGGTCAGGTCTCCGCCGCCGCCAGCTCGGTGAGTACGAACTCCAGTCCCGAGCACCACGCTGATCGTGCAGGGAGCCCGACTCCGTTGTTGATGTCGTCGGGCCGCCCGGGGACTCGCATCCCGGTGGTAGATCCCCGTAGCCCAGTCGGCAGTAGCAACCGGAATTCCAGCAGGCTCATGTTCAGGCACAGCCACAGCTACTGCCACAGCTACAGCCGGGGCCGCCGCCGTCGCCGTCCCGCAAATCGCCTCCGTCCTCCGCAGAAGCACTACAGCCGGTACCAGTAGTGGCGGCAGCAGCAGGAGGCCAGACGGCGGCTGCAGCAGTAGCAGGGGAGGCGGCGCGCTGCCGTCGCCTTTCTCCAGGGGGGGCCAGCGGGTGGTGGCATGGTAGGCAGCAGCAGCGGCGGCGGCGGCGGCGGCGGCGGTGCAAGCGCCGGTGGCGGGGACGGCAGTAGCAACCGGAATTCCTTATGCCTGGGGCCGGGAGCGGAAGGAGGCGGCCAACGAGGTTAGAGTTTTGAGGTGTCATACTCTAGTGCTCACGGATTGGACGAGCTTAGTAACTTGTAGATCATCCGGACAGGGCAACAGCATCAATTTCGACATTTCCCTAAACATCCAACCCTGACATCAATGTGATGAACAGCGCCAAGAAATATGGTCGTCATAAGGTCGTCAGATGAAGATAATATTTCGCAACGAGAGTATTTTTTAAGGAGATACTCCACGAAATTTAGTGATTTACAAAGTCTTGTCGTGTCGAAGCCTAATGTTGTGGCGCGGTGCGGTGTGGTGTGCCATTGGCGTGTTTGTGTGTGTATGTATGTGTGGGTGGGGGAGAGGTGGTGACTTGGTGAGATGGAAACGAAGGGGGAAGGATAAGGGAGTGGGGGGGGGGGAAATAGCCGCGTTAGGGATGGAGGCGGTGGAAGAGGAGAGGAGAGAGCCATTCAAAAAGGGAGGAGGTGGGTTTTAGGGGATCACTGAACCCAGACATGGACAGGCCTAGACGGCATACAGCAGTAGCAATGATAATTATGACATAATACATTACATATATACTGCTTTTGTACTTAAAATCCTTGCCTGCTTACCCGCCGCCGCCCCTCCATAACTCCATTCCTTTGCTCATCTTCCCCCCCAGCTCCCTTCAGCATGTGGTCGGGTGCGGCCGTCTCCACCCTCTCCGCCTTCTCACAAACCGTGAGGTCGCTTCCGAGCTGCCATCCAAGTCCTCACGGCGCCGCCAGGGCCCAACACCCGCCCGGGTTGTCAAGCGGCGGCGGCGGCGGCGGCGGGGGCGGCGGGGGCGGCGGGGGCGGATCTCACAGGCAGTTGCTGATGTCAATGTCGTCGATCTCGTCCACTGCTACCGCCGCCCCCTCTCCCGCCGCCGTCGCCACGCAGTCGCCGCCAGCACCGCCGACAACTCCCGTACAGCTATCACCGCCGACAGACGCCACGGCGGAAGGCGTTACAGTGAACGGTGAAGTACGGGACGGATGCGGCTGCAATCGGGTGGTGCAGCCGCCGCTGCCGCCATCGGGCCTGGCGCCGGTAGATGCGGCGGTAATGGCGGTAATGGCGGTAATGGCAGCCAGACCAACGAACCAGCTGCCGTACGCACCGGTCGCGACGCAGGTTGAAGCTCCACCCCGGGGGCTTGTCGAAGGCCTTGCACACCCAGCAAACGTAAGCGGCTTTGGTGGCGACAGTATCACATCGCGACGAACGACAGTTGGCGTCACAGCCCTGGATGCTGACACCGTACCGCAGATTCCCAGCACCGGCAGCGGGTACGATGTCTGCGCCCCTGTTTATGTGCCGTACGGTTGAGAGATGGGGCTCAGGTGAGGTGGTGCAAGAAGCGCCACTGTTGGCAGCGGCAGTAGCGGTGTCAGTGCAAGCGGCAACAACGGCGGCGGTGGCAGTATCACTCTGGGTAACAGGACGCTGTCGTGGGCCTTACGCACCGCGCCAGCGGGGTGGGATTCCACGTTTTCCCGTACGGGATCGTCTCCTGATGGCGGCAGCCGCCGCCACCGCGGCAGCGGCGGCGGGTGCGGCAGGGTCGCTGCCAGCACCGGCATCGAGGGCGGCACCGAAACCTTGGAAGTAAACAGCGGTGCTCCCGTCGGCCGTACGGCAGATAGGCGCATGGGACGAGCTGCTGCTGCGGCGGCTGCTGGCGTGGAGGCTGCGTTACCCAGACCCGAGTTCATGTTCGGCGAACCTAGGTCCTTGCATTCAAGGAGGTGCTCGTCCATGGCCGTTGTGGTAAGAACCGTTAGGGGTAACGGCCACGTGATAGTAATGGCAGTTAGAATCGTTGATTACGACGTGGAAGTTCATCTTGCACAGCCTTAGTAAAATTCATTCTCCTTCAGGACGTTTCTTTCCTCACTCTAAACCCTAAAACCTCAAAGCCACAAGTCCCTAAAACCCTAAAATCCTAACATTCACACCGCAGGTTGCTGCCGGGGCTGGGTCAGACACCAGCAACGCAGCAGCAACGACGCCACCAGCCGTACATTTGCAGTACGAAAACTCCCTCGGCGTGGGAACACCCATACCCGCCGCTGACATCACTCGTACGGCGGCGCTACCGTACATGTCCATCACCTCAACCGGGGACCCGGAATCACCATTTCGCGCCACAATGGCCGCCGTGAGTACGGCATCATCGCCGATCCCGTCACCGATCCCGTCGCCGTCGGCAGCGACGGCGGCGACGGTGGCGTCAATCAGAGTCCCCCCGACCTCGGAGACCGTCAGCATGGCCGTGGGCTTTCCAGGGTGGTCGCGAGGGCGATGGGGGAGCAAAGGAATGCCGCCAACATGGTACGGCAATGCCGCATCCCCCGCTGCCGCTGACAACTCCCGCCGCCGCTGCCACCCTTTCCATTCCTTCCGGTGGCGGAGCGTTCACCCCATCGTCTCCGTCAGGCCTGCAGCGATCCATACACTCACGATCTGCTGAGACATCCTCGAGGATGACATCATGCTGTACAAGTAGCGGCGGCGGCTTCGTCGGGGCCAATCTTGTGCTAAGGCACACAGTTTTCAGCCTGCACCAAACAACCACTAGCAGCAGGAAAACGGGCCACGTCTGGCCTCAGTGCCCTGTGTCGAGATAAGAAATTTAGTACCCCTAAGCTAAGCTGTGCATGTTCATCTATAGAGATAACGCGCTCGTTGTGCCAGTATTTTCGTATGGGGCGAAGTTTGGGTACCTGGTTTTATTGATGTGAAGAGCGCAATTGTGAACCCTATGGAGGAGCAGTGCATGTATTGTGCTAAGGTTCTGGAACACAGTTGTCAAGTCGCCAGGGACACTGCGCCACCAGGCCTTCATTGCCGACCTTGAGCTGGCTCTGGGGGGTGTTGCTGAGTGCTGAACGAGCAAGGTCCTAGCTTTCCCCCCAGCCAGTCTGCATGGTGACGATCTCATAGCGCATGACGCCACCGTTAGGTTGCCAGTGGGAAGCATACCATTGCCCCCGGGAGATCCCAGGATCGATACCCATTAGGGTCTAAGTCCTTCCAATGGTGGAAGGCTTTGCGCCCCTAGTTGATGGACGGTGGTGACCTGGGATAAAGTTAACCTGCGAGCCGACCAGGAACGGAGTTGGGCCGCTGTCGACCCGGCAGATTCCGTTGGATGCTGGTGGTGGGTGCGGAACCTGAGTGATCCACTGAGAAGTTGACTAGGGTGACTGGATGAGGGTGCCCTGATATACCGGGGAAGGCAGGGTTTCGCAGGGTAGCTGCCACGGGCGAAGATACACCCCCCTGTTTCACACATCATACACATAATACGCAGCATAAGTGGCTGGCCCACGCAGAAACCGCCATGCCCCAACGTTTGCATCCAGTGCTTATGCATTTCTGGTTAGGCTGTTGGGAGTTAGAGATTAACTGGCCTAACTGCCGTGAGTGCACAGTGTGCACCTGCAGGCTTTGTGACTGCGGGGTGGTTGAAGACGAAATGCATGTCTTTGTGGAATGCCCGGCGTACAATACATGGGCTAAGTACGAGCGTGACCTCGCGTTTCAAGGGCGCGATTGTGCATGATTATATTTATGGACCCCCGCACTTGTGTGGAACTTGTAACTTAAAAGGGCTGAAGTCATGTTCCCAGTGTCGATGAGAATGGAGGCATCAGACTGGCACTCTTTACCTTGAAACCTCATAGTCAAACCCTTAGGAACGGAGAAAGGTGAAGGAGGGACGCTTCCCTATCGCAGCAACAACATCAAACAGTGTGGTACATATTTCGGAAGTGCAAAGTATGCGAGTTGAAGGGATGAGTGCAGAAGTTCGTCTTTGTGTTACAAGATTGACAAGGCTTGGCAGTTAGAGCAGCAAAGACAGCAGCATCCTGATGATGCATGGGTTGCACTAATGACAAAGTCTGCATAAGCCGAGCAAACTTGCCACTTGCTGAGGTGATGCTCACACACACAAACGAAAATCCTCCCTACCCGCAATATGACCCATTGTGCAATGCTCTGCAGGAAGTCCCCGCCTCCTCATTTTAGTCATGATCCTATCCGACCAATAAGCGGGTATCGTTCACATGGCCAACAGCCATGTGAAACACAAAACCCAAATCTACAGCAAAAGCAAACAGTTGGGAAGCCTGCCATAATGAAGCGTCCTCTTCTGCCACTGACCAACATAGCTTGGTTATTGGCACGGGCTCCACAACAATAATGTGGAGAGGAGACCCTGCACAAGTACGGATGAAACGGTTAACTATGTGGATTCCAACGATTAACGGTTGCATTTAAGCGTGAACAGCAGTTTAACCCCTAAGCTTGCGGCCCATGCTTACCGTGCACGATACCGTGCTGAGGCGCCTCATGTACGTTGCAGCCTCGTGCCAAGCTCCACTTGTGTTCCGAATCACGCTAGGCAACCCCCCAAATGCAAACCCCCGAACCGCATTGTTCCAGGTAAACCCCCAATAATCATCGGTCCATGCAAAACCATGAACCATGTTATGCCGGGTAACCCCCACGAAAACAACAGTCCATGCAAACCCCTGAACCACATTGTGCCTGGTAACCCCCCAATTATCATCGGTCCATGCAAAACCATGAACCGCGTTGTGCCAGGTAGCCCCTGCGAAAATAACGGTCCATGCAAACCCCCAAACCACATTGTGCCAGGTAACCCCCGCGAAAACAATGGTCCATGCAAACCCCCAAACCACATTGTGCCAGGTAACCCCCGCGAAAACAATGGTCCATGCAAACCCCCGAACCACATTGTGCCAGGTAACCCCCCAAAAGCATCGGTCCATGCAAACCCCCAAACCACATTGTGCTTGGTAACCCCCCAAAAGCATCGGCCCATGCAAACCCCCGAACCGTGTTGTGCCAGGTAACCCACGTGAAAATAACGGTCCATGCAAACCCCCAAACCGCATTGTGCCTGGTAACCCCCAAAAAGCATCGGTCCATGCAAACACACGAGCCACATTGTGCCAGGTTACCCCCGTGAAAATAACGGTCCATGCAAACCCCCGAACCGCATTGTGCTTGGTAACCCCCCAAAAGCATCGGCCCATGCAAACCCCCGAACCGTGTTGTGCCAGGTAACCCACGTGAAAATAACGGTCCATGCAAACCCCCAAACCGCATTGTGCCTGGTAACCCCCAAAAAGCATCGGTCCATGCAAACACACGAGCCACATTGTGCTTGGTAACCCCCCAAAAGCATCGGCCCATGCAAACCCCCGAACCGTGTTGTGCCAGGTAACCCACGTGAAAATAACGGTCCATGCAAACCCCCAAACCGCATTGTGCCTGGTAACCCCCAAAAAGCATCGGTCCATGCAAACACACGAGCCACATTGTGCTTGGTAACCCCCCAAAAGCATCGGCCCATGCAAACCCCCGAACCGTGTTGTGCCAGGTAACCCACGTGAAAATAACGGTCCATGCAAACCCCCAAACCGCATTGTGCCTGGTAACCCCCAAAAAGCATCGGTCCATGCAAACACACGAGCCACATTGTGCCAGGTTACCCCCGTGAAAATAACGGTCCATGCAAACCCCCGAACCGCATTGTGCCTGGTAACCCCCCAATTATCATGGGTCCATGCAAAACCATGAACTGCGTTGTGCCAGGTAACCCCGCGAAAATAACGGTCCATGCAAACCCCCAAACCGCATTGTACCTGGTAACCCCATCATGCTACTGCAGGTTTTATTTGAAACCCTTGCACCCGTACCGCACCGTACATTACTGTAAGGAACCGCACCATACCGTGTGGCATTCATATCCGCGGTACCGTGGCAGCAGTTGCCGGAAGGCGTCATTGTGGAGCGATAGCACGGCATCCATTACCGCGACGGGCAGCGTTTCCCACAACGAGGTCATTAAACACAGGCACATACTGAGATACACAGCAATCATGCTTGGATGGTGGCTAGCAATGCTAATCCGGACTTTCTTTTAGGGCTGGACACCTTTCCTTAAGGGGTCTGCTCCGCTGTGCTTTGCTACTGTTGCTCCTGCTGTTGCTGCTGCTGCCACCAACCGCCAGCCAAGTACGACTGCGTAATCACGCGATACACGGTGCAGGAAAACACAATCGGCACAGCGATACGAAACATGTAGTACACGCCACGATACGGCACGGATCCATATCGCCGACTTACCGCATGTATCATCTGGAGGGTGCTTGCACCGTAGATACCGCCAAGCGCCGCCGGTCAACAGGAGGGTACACGGTTCGGGGAACAGGTGGGGCGGGGTGGGAGGGGATGATATCGTTTGCTTTGCTACTGCTTTGCTGCTACTGCTGCTGTCGCAGCAGACCGCCAGGCAGACATGATTGCACGCTCCCAACAAAATGCGGAACTGAAAACCCTAAACAGTACAACCAATCGCAAAGCACGAGGTATCTTGAAATCCAGGGGCTCATGCAAGGACTGCAGCTCTTGTAGCGCCCAATCGTTGCGCCCTCGGCATTGGTGTTGATATACGGCCGCCGCGCAGCCATAAGGACGCACCAGAGGCAGGCGGGAGGACGGGGCAGGAGGATGGGCGGAGGGGAAGGAATAATCAGCAAGGTACGATGAGGTGGTTCATGAGGCCGTCTTGTTTGGGTTCACGGGCGAAAAGACATGCATAAAATCTTATCCATAATAGCTCACGCATTCCTACAGGTGTTTGCTTTGCCTTGTAACGATCACTGTCGCTGCTGCTGCTGCCGCTTCTGCTGCCAGCCGCCAGCCGAACACGATAGCAAGGAAACGCCCAACATGGCACCGGACAATACACCAGGCGCTGCACAGGGTACGACGAACTGCACTGTGAAGTGCAGTACAGCACGCAACGGCACTGGACGCAACGCCTACGTACCCCATCAAAGCCCACACTAAAGGTTTTCGAAATCATCAGTTCCTGCTTAACCTGTTTGCTTTGAACGCATAGGCCCAGCATGTCATCTCCCCGTCGCTCCATGTCACCGAGCCCTAACATGGGACGAGACACGGACGAGACACGGAACATCGCACGCTGAAAGGTAGATGTAATTGTCGTCCTGCTCACAGCATTCATCACGCAGATCTTCCAGTTTCTGCCTGTAAGCGGGCAAACAGAAGCAATTGTGAGGACAAACTTTGCGATGTAGTCTTCCTGGTGCTGCTATCCAATTGCCTGACCCTTAAATGCATCAAAACATTTCATAGCTCATGCATTCTGG